CATTGTCAGTATTCCTTTGGATAGAATTGGGGTCTGCTGTTCATTTTTCCAGTAGTGTGTTTTATAAAGAAATCACAACAGCAAACAGTACACTCAAATGAGAATCAAGAGAGATACACCAAGAAATTTCATTTTTCTACCTTTTATTCGAACTGAAAAGTCAAATGACATAATATTTTTCTAGAGTATAATCACTCAGAAAAAAACTATTTAAAATTATCACACAATGAACATGTGCCTTATGAATGCAGGCTGCCTTCTCGCTAAGGGTACCTACTAAAATTTCATCAGTGTTCCGTAACATTTTTGCTGTTCTTGTCAAAAGTTGTCAAAAGTCTTGAACAGGTGTTATCACTCGACTTAAGCAATATTTTCTCCTTTTGCAAAGCAAATAAACCTTCTTTTGCTCATGACAGTCTCACATTTCCAATTTCTCCTTTGTTTAGTGATTAAAATTACTTTCTTTCTCTACCTCTAAGTCTCAGAATCTTCAAAGAAAATTAGATGTTATTCCCAAGCACACATCCTTCTTACCTTTTTCCCTTTTCCCAATTTCTTGCAAAATCAAGCTTCACAATTTTATTCCCTTTCATGGGTCATGAAAGACATTTTCTATAACATTTTAGTATAAACAACGTTCAAGCAAACACTTTCCAAATAACAGTTCTTGTTAAAAGAAGCACACTCTGGATGCTAGAGTAATACTTGGTCCAACCAAGAGGTCAAGGAAAACATTCTACAGCAAGCAGCTGCTGAGCTAATGTTAAGACCAAAATAAATAAGACTAGAGAAGGAAAAGGTTAGAGAGGATTCCTGACCAGAACAGCAAGTACAAAGACTGTGAAAGTAAATGGCACTGGGTGTTGGAAACTTCAACTCATTCTGTATTACAGTCAGTATAAAGTGAGAGGAAAAAACAGAAGAAATGGAAGCAAGAGATGCAGATGAAGCAAAGTTATAGTCCATCTCAAATTTGACATAATAGTCTGTTTCACACATACAGAATTTCTCCTGTCATCTATTAACTGTATGGGAAAGGTAGAAGCAAATGGGCTCTTTCTGGTTGTTTCCTAGTTGTGACAAGTCCTACAAGTAAAGTTAGAAATTGCCCTCAAATACATGTTACTAATCCCATGTCTCAAATCTATAAAGCAGAAAAATGAATGCTTACATGTCTTCT